CTTGGTTGGAAGAGAACTGTTACTGACAACTTAATTATTCTCCAGACAATAAAAGCCTGAGTTTATGCTTGTGCGCACACATTTCTCCACCTAAGTTTGTTCGTAACGTGATATTATCAGTCTATGGTCACTCGTCCCGTAGTTCCAAATGTATTTGATATTTTGAGCTCCTGATATTTCTGTGCTATATTGTATAACCAAAATGAGACAATTGTACCGCCAAAATGATCTAATTGTTGTCGTCATTGCAGTTGTTAGCATTGGTGCAGCTTTGTTCTTGTTCCAGCAGTTCGCTGGGATAAATGCTGTGGTCTATTATTCCACTGCAGTGTTCCGAAGTGCTGGAATTTCATCTGATGTAGCAGCCAGTGCTCTGGTTGGAGCAGCCAATGTCTTTGGTTAGTCTTCTTCTCAAGAGTTTCGAGAACATCTGTTACTAAGTATAGAATATATTTTTCTAATTAGGTATATATTTATCCAGGGACAATGGTGGCATCCTCTTTGATGGACAAACAAGGAAGAAAGAGTCTGTTGCTCGTAAGCTTTACTGGAATGGTACGTCACTTTGTGTCCTTGATGGAGTTTATATGTCAAAAGTAAAATACAACTTACTTGGAACTGAACTGCGTTAATCCTTTAAGGAGTGATATCTTTACTTTTAGTTGATTATTACATGTAATCTCTTTAAAGATTTTGGTAGCATTTGGATGGGCGCGCGCACACATATTTACATATGAAAAAACAGAAAAATCTTCATCGAAACAGAACATTCAAAAATTTTGTTTGTTGAAGGACCTTGTACTTCCAGAAGTTCTAACTATCTCTAGCACTAGCAACGTTATACCCTGTCATAGTGTGATGCAATTCATTTACGTAGTAGAGACAGTGATGAATCTTATCGTTTGAATTTAAGTGATAAATAAATCACTTTTTAAATCATTTTCTATTATTGGTTATGGTTTGTAAGAACCTACAGAAATGTAAAACTCAGTTTATATATTCATGATCAAAATTGATATTCTTGGCTAAAAACCTTATATCCTTGCTTAGAGGGATATCTAGACCACTTTGCTTGGGCCTGTTTGGAAATAACTGTTTTGATTTGGAAAAAATCAGCCATTGTTTTTTTTCCCCATAAAACCATAATGCTAAGTTGGTGTTTTGAGAAAATAATTCTTACAGCACACGACCAGTTCTTCCAAAACCAAATGCAAAATCCTAACACAAACATTGTTTTCTTTAGAAGGAGACCAAATTTATACAGGACCAAACCGTTTCCTAATCCAAATGTCAAATGTCATGGCATTTGATTTCTCTTTGTGAGTCTTAGACTTCTAAGATGATAATGTGAAAACTTGGGAATCATATCCTTGCGAATCTTAGACTTCTAAGATGATAACGTGAAACTTAGAATCATAGCCATAACAGAGAATTTCAGAGACCTTAACCTACCTCGTAGTTTAAGATTTTACAGTAGCCTCCCTTATTTCGATTTTTCTTTAACAAGATTGATTTAAATGATAGAATATTTCTATTATTCCAAAGATGTCCTTGTGTATCCTTGACTGAAAATGGAGAAGCGAGTAATTCTCCCAATTAATAGACAAACTGTAAGTATATGAACCTATAATATAGGTTGTGGGTGTGGAAGTTCACACCATGCAGATTTCTCCGCTTCATTTAAGTGAGATGGAACACCATTAGAAGCTAAGGTCCAGTGATTATATACCTTCAGATTTAAATCTTCATTTTTCTCCACTCTATTATACTTGATTTTACCCCAAAGTTTAGGATAATATCAACTAAAAAAAAAAGGGCAGCCTAGTGCACAAAGCATCCCGCATTCACGCAGGGTCCAGGAAGGGACGCACCTCTAGGATAATATCAACTGATAATTGGTTTGACGCCTGCATATTTCTATGAATGCCATAGCCATTTCACGTCTTAGAGGAAGCCTTATTGTTGCTCGTGAACGAACTTTGGGCAGTCCATTATGGAAATGAGGAACTGAGTTCAATGTGATATAATTAAATAAGCGATAAGCATCGCACAATTTTCTTTTTCTTTTTTTCCTTTTTGGCTCTCTTAATTCTTATTTAAATTTTCTTGTCGAGTTTGTTTCTTATCTATATTTATTTTTTAGCACACAGATAGTACTGTTTTTCCAATATAGATAGCATAAATGATTTTTATTTAAAATTGAATAGAGCTTTGTATTACAAATATAGCACCTAATAATCAAGGTAAAAATGGGTCTACTTCGGGATGTATAACAAGTTATTATTTGAATTCAATTTCGTTATGAATAAGGAAGTGAACATAATATCTCAACCCATGATTAATGTAAGTATTAGAAATGTTACCTTGATGGATTTGTGAAAATTTTCCATTCAATAATTAATATCCAAGAAGGGCACCTTTATGAAAAATATAAAAATCTTATAATTTCAACAAGTTTTGTTATGAAAAGATCAAAATAAGGAGTGAGTATAATATTCCAAATCACAAGGGAAGTTAGTCTTATAAAGGTAAACTTGAGGTCTTCGAAATATTCCATAACTATAAGCATCCCGCAGAGTAAATTCCAACATGAAGCTCTCTGGGATAGCTTGCCTAAGACTTGCACGGTCTTATCCTAAACAATCCTTGGCAGTTGAACTCATTCTTTTTGCATCTAGTTGTCAATGCTAAGATGGTTCTTTAGCAGCAACCCATGCATGCATATGCTGAGGCCTGAGGGACATGACGCTTTTATCCTCCTGATATATGGCTCGTTTCTGATTTATTCTATTTTAGCTTTATCTTGTTCTATCCATCTTATCTGATTCTCATCATATTCTCCTTTCACAGGCTGCATCAATGATGTTGCTTTCCTTGTCCTTCACTTGGAAGGTCCTGACACCATATTCTGGCACACTAGCTGTTCTTGGTACTGTCCTGTAAGTATCATGTGCTTCCCTGCTGTTAGATCATTACTCCTCCTCCTTTTTTCCACCGGAGCAATTTCTTCTGTTATTTGGCCCTTTTTTTCCCATTGTCAATGCAAATGATTTTTTGTTTTTAATAAGGAATGCAAATGAAATGTTTATATATTTCCTGTTACCTTTTTTCCTGCAGCTACGTGTTGTCCTTCTCACTTGGTGCTGGTCCTGTTCCTGCTCTTCTACTTCCTGAGATATTTGCCTCCAGAATTAGGGCAAAAGCGGTGGCTTTGTCTTTGGGGATGCATTGGGTGAGTCTTCTTTTTTCTTTTTTTGACAAACAAAAGGTTATAACTGCTATAAACATCATTTATGGTGTTCCGTGATTTAGCTGGAAGCAAACTTTTATGCCAAAGTCCTAACATCACAATAAGCTGAAATGTGTGCTGACAGAAGTATGCTCAAATGTCTTCTGAGTATATTTCTCAATGCCATGCTCTCGAGTAATATAACATTCCCAGGGTGCTTAGAGAAATATGCATTTTATTGAAGCACCAAACACAGTAGTCCCTTGGCTCTTTGATTTTTAGTGTTATTGTTTACTTCTTTCGTTTAAGAAGTATCTTTTGCTTTTGATTGTTATTTTCCCAGCATGAGCTGTAGGAAGATAAATATGAAAAACAGAAAAAGTAGGAATTGATTGTGGTGGTATTTGCAGCATTGTAAGATAAGTCGAAGGTTCATTCACTCCATGTTTACTTATTGTCTCTAACAGCCAACTCATCTTTCTCCTTGAACAGATATCAAACTTCTTTATTGGCCTGTACTTCTTGAGCATTGTAACTAAATTTGGAATCAGTACGGTGTACCTGGGATTTGCATCTGTTTGTCTTCTTGCTGTCATGTATATAGCCGGTAATGTCGTAGAGACAAAAGGGCGATCACTGGAGGACATAGAGCGTGAGTTAAGTCCAGCAATATGAGTGGTACCATATGAACAGCTGAGTAATTTCAGCTTCCGCCATCCAGTGGTCTAGATTTTGAAGAGATACTCCCCAGTGGAAGTCTGTTGCGAGACTGGAGTTGTATCACTTACCCTTTAGCTGTCTGTTTGATTTTCTTGTACTTCGGCATCAAGAATGGTGCGACATTGTAACAAACATGCAACTGGTATGAAAGATTATCCACGTATAAATGAGTATTTCAGAATCTATCTCAAGACTTTCTCAGCGTTAATTATTTGTGTACGGTGAAGCTTAGGTATGCAAGATGATGATAGATACTACAAATGATTATCTTCAGATGCCAGCAATAGGGAATCCTTAGAAAACTACAATGCAAGTTGCTTGATAGTTTTATTCCAAAATGAGAAGTCTCCAAAGCCATCTCCAAACGTCTTTTCAGCCTTTGATTATTTACTACTTACTTCAGTGAAGCTTAGATCTGTTAAAAATGAGATGTCATCTGACATTCACTGCCTACCTGAAATAAGTTATTTTGACCAGAGGGACGGCAATATTATACTGGACTCCACTGTGTTCAAACCTTTCTACCCGCAGCTGAAATCAGTAATTGTTATGCAGTATTAGCGAGATTAGTTGCTGAAATTATGTATACATGACGAAGAAGTTTAATTGGATCCATCGTTGGATGTTGCATCGGAAGTTGAATCCACAGAAGGTGTGTACTAAAGGGCAGCCCGGGCGCAGCTAAATAAGAAATCTCAGTCAATGATCTAAATGACTAAATAAATACCAGATAACGAATTGAACTCCACCCTATAACTAGATCACTCGATGTTGGATAATCTATCAAATGCTAACCCAGTGTAGATGCGCCAGTGTTCTGAAAATTAAAAACACCCATATAGGTTGTTTAAGAAGATGGTCGTCAGTTCCAGACAAACCAGTTTGAGACCATAAAAGGTACTGGGCGTTGATGACATAAAGAGGAGACAACATACTCCTAGTCAGTTAGCTGGATATTCAGATTATATGATCTCTTCTTTCTTTCTTTCTTTTTTTGCAAGAAAAGCATTATTGATTAACAAGTAAAACACATCCACATTTACAAGTGAAATGTTCAAGCCCTTAAGAATCACAGCGATTTAGCAGAAATTGGTTGATCTACACCCAAGTCGAGGCTTAATTCCCATTTCCTCATAAACCTAGAGATCAATATACATCTTGACACTTCAAAGCTTTTACAATGGAGATAATGTAGTCAGAAATCATCTTAATTCATACAATATATATATCTATTATATTTGACCGGTAGATTATAGACGCTGCCTCCAATGGATTTTGGAGCAATCTAGCATGGTAGCAGCATTACAAACTCCAGAAGGTGATGGCTCTACATATTGGATTTCCTTTCCCATCTCTCCTTGGTATCAAGCCTACAGTTGGTCAAATATGCACGATTAATAACATAAAGTACACAAAGTCAAAAAGCAAAAGAAACGAAACATAACCAACCAAAATGCCACACTTCTGGTACCATACTGTTAAATTTGCTTTGGCATTAAATCCAATTGTTTGCTCTAAAAGTAACAATAGCAAACATTTTGAAAGATCATACCCCCAATGCAACTTCTGCCGCTTTATTGACAGTGAATGTCCTACTAAATTGTCTTCTTGTGATGATGAAAGGTCCGTCAAACTGCTTATGGACAATGTAATTCTTGGATCTTCAGCTGTTTTAATTGATTTTTCACCCATTGCCTCCTTGCATTTGGCATTGACATCTTTACCATGGTACTTTCCCACCTCAGCAAGAGTTCCTGAAAACTTCTCTTCATCACAATGTTAACTAGGAATTCACAGTCAATAGAAAATAATAAAACAAATAGGAAAAAAGATAGTTGAAAATGTAAACAAAGTGCGGAGGAATCAAACAACACACCTTTTGATTTATCCTTGACCTTTGATCTTGCTTTTATTTTTAGGCGTCTTCGGTGCAACTCCTGGCAAATCCAACGCTTATGATATTTAAAATCTATCTACTCATACTACGATGAAAGAACAAAAAATAACGATGCACACACATCTCTATATCCAATTTCCATATGGTTAATTGATGTTGTCCCTAACCTGTAGCTCAGCAAGCAAGTTCTCTTAATAAGTTTTATAATAAAACAGTACCAAGTAGGTATTGAATGTATACAAAGTGTCTGGAGTTGCCTCCTATCAGTGTAATGAGTCGAAGAAACCCAGAATGTCTTCCAATTCAATTACAAGGTTTTTCCTGCACCAGAAGTACAAATTTGTAGACACCTATATTTTACATTTTCCATGGCTAATGTTTCTTTCAACTTCCAATAGGTTCAATAGTATCCGATAGCATGATTTCACACAGAACTTACCATCCCTGTCGCCAAGCTCGGCAAGCAAGTTTTGAATCTCTCTGACAGATCATTCATTCAGGCCTCATTTGTTTGCACTTCATGGAGGTCTGAATCTTTATCATTCAGATCTCAAACATTACGTGCGTTTGTTTTTAAAGTCTGAATCTTAACCATTTAGATCTTAATCAGTGTGCTTATTTTTAAAGTCTGAATCTAAACCATTTAGATCTTAATCAGTGTGTTTGTTTTTTTTACTTCACAACCACTTAATGGATCTGAATAGGTCTGTATGGTTAAGATCTATAGCAAAGACTTAATTTCATTAAGATGCTATCATACACATTCATTACTAACTGCTGCCGCCATCCTCAACCATAGCCGCCACCACTACCACCACCCATCACCCCCACCACCATTAGCCTCAACCATAACCACACACTCACCCACCTCAATTACCACAACTAACCACCCCATTACCATCAATAATCATAGCCGGCACTGTCCACCATTATAAACTACCACCAATCACTATCACCTTCCTCAATCACAACCACAACGACCACCCACCATAATTAACTATTACCATCCACCACCACCATCCTAAATCATAATCACTATCACTACCAATTTATTAAAATTTTATGTTTATTAATTTTCAGTCTTAATCATTTAGTATTAAGATCTTAATACACATCTTAATATTCAGATGTGTATTCAGATTCAGATGTCTTAATCTTAATACACTTCTTTATATTCAGATATGTATTCAAATTCAGACGTCTTAATCTTAAAAAAACAAATGAGGCCAATGTTGTTGTTGACAGTATTTTTCTTTTTAGAGCGCTTTTATCATCTCGTAACTATGTATCCAACCGATTGGCCCAAAACAACAATAACCCTTATTCCACGACTTAGAGAAAATGTTTAAGGGACCATTAATTGGAACATCAAAATATATATGTGGATAAACATTGAGAACCTTAAAAGCATCCAACAATCGCTTATAGCATTCTGAGCAAAATAGTGCGATGTATTTTAACGTATGGAACATCTTCTTTTCCAAGTGAAATTCCCCTTCATAATTTGAAAACATTTGCAAGTACTTAATTCCACATGTTACATAAAGGAAGTGAGGCAGACAACTCAATGTATTTCAACTTAACACCCCTCTATTGATTCTAGTGTTTTCAGCATAACAACTCAATGTATTTCAACCTTTTCAATTTTGCTTTGGATACTACTGTTAGCAAATGTTTATATTGCATAGTTCAACATAAAAGAGCGAACAAATGACACTGCTAGCTCTGCATCCTCTCATACAAGAAAAGAGACCTCCAATATCAAGATTTACAACTTCCTCTAGTCCTACGTATTCAGACAATGTATATGTAGTTCTAAGGATATAAAAGTTTGGTTACTTGCTGCATCACAGACTTCCAAAGTAACATCAACCAAATTTCCTAGCAAAGCACAAGTTCAAAACTGGAAATAAATGAATAAAGTGAGGAATAATCTAGAAAAACAACCAACGAAAAATCCTGGTTTTCCCACCACATTCAGCAATTACTACTTTTTCAGAGAGAAAAAAGAAGAATGAATGGAGCTAATTTTTAAGGTTTATGATTTCAAACAACAAGGTCGGTTCAATTAAGATATTTTATCGTATGATAAAATTGACAAAAGTGATGCAAAGGACAAAGGGATTACTTGAAACTTGGAAATTTGAGCAGGGTTGAGACCCTTTTTGGAGGTAAAATTGGGCTGTAGAGATGGTGCTGATGCTATCGCAGCTTCTCTCCTTCCGTCGTCTTCTTCCATTGTTGCTGATCATCAACCAGTTGGAGACCCGACTCTAACCCGTTTGTGGCAATTTGCTCGGGCCTTTGGGGTTCAATTACTGTAATGGGCCTCGATAGTAGAGATCCAAAGCCGGTGAATTCAAAAATAGCCAGATTTACTGGGAGAAATTTAAAAATAGTTAGATTTACAATTGGTCGTTCAAAAATAGCTCAATTTCAAAAGTAATCGAAATTTAGCCACTTTTTATGTAAAGATAAATCTGAGCGAAAGCACTATTCAAAATCCGGAAAATACTCCAGCATAATATGATGGAGTTCCAGCATAAGTACACTAGAACTCCAGCATAATATACTGGAGTTCCAGCAAGTATAATTGTCCAGTATAATATACTGGAGTTTGGAGCACCAGTGCTCCAGTCTCCAGTATATTATACTGGAGCCAGCAAAGTATACCGGTCCAGCATAATATGCTAGAGTTCATACACAAGTGCACCGAACTCCAGTATATTATGCTGGACCGGTCTCTATTGCAGCAAAGCGGTGGCTATTTTTCATTGACTTGTAAACGCTGGCTATTTTTGATTGACCAGTCCGAAAACTGGCTATACCGTGCTATTTTTACAGATTTACAAGCGGTAATTGAAAAATAGTTACAGTTTCAAAAGTAATTAAAAGTTAACGACTTTTGATGTAAAGATAAAATTGAACAAAAATACTGTTCGAAATTCTTCGGAAAATATTCCAGCATAATATGCTGGAAGTTCATACACAAGTGCTCTAATCTTCACTATATTATGCTAGAACTTTTCGTGTGATGGAGTTCCAACATAATATGTTGGAAGTTCATACACAGGTGCACCAATATCCAGTATATTATGCTGGAAGTTTTCGTGTTGCAGCAAAATAGTAGTTATTTTTCCATGACTTTGCAAACGCTGGCTATTTTTCAATTAACAATCCGAAAATTGGCTAGCCGTGCTATTTTCACCCCTAGACTGTAAGGGTGACTGACACAAAAGGAGCTTTTGGGAGCTGGGCTTAGCTGAATATCCCAAAATTACCGGTATTTAAAAAATGACTTCGAAACCACATATGGTTCTTCGGGAGTTTCTCTACATGATTAAATTATTCATCGAAGTATATCGGATTGTCATACTTTTGCTCTGTAGAATTTTCTTACCGAATGATAGAGTTGATGTTACTATTACTCTACCTATTTGTTAAGATGTTCACTGAAGTCTATCAGATTGACATACTTTTGTTTTTGAGGTATTTCTCTACTGGGTTGGTAGAGCTGATGCTATATTTTTCTCTACCTATCTTCCGAGTTGTTCATCAAAGTGGAATTTCTATTGAAATTTCACATGTAAAGAGTTTTCCAATCTCCAGTGTATTATGCTGGAGTTTCACCTGTAAAAAATTTAAAATTCGATATCGATTACCGGAGTTTTTACGTGTTTTAGATAGGGGTAATTTTTGTCCAGCTTGTATTTTTGCATAAATGAGTGGCTAGTTTGTAAATACAATTTAAAAGGTGGCTGAAAAAGTAACTATTTATCAATTGTTCCCTATTTTTTCGGATAAATAGTACTTCCTGTGGTCCAAAATATTTATGTGTAGATCGTAGATAGCTAATTTTACTCCTTATCCCAAATTATCTTATTCATATTTTATTCAATTTATCTTGCCTTGTTTTATTCTATTCTATGCAAGACAATTAAATTTTTCTCTACGAGTTTAAAATCTATTGTCGTCTTTAGGATTGCCGAGTAACAATTGCAAAAAGAATATAAAATTTTTGGGGAAGTACGTATTTGCAACATTTTGAATTTGGTTTAAATAAGTAACTTTAGTATCATATGGACTAAGTACGCAAAAAAAAAAAAAAAGTATCTGTAAACAATAAATCTGCGTCAAGAAAATAAAATCAAGACCGGAAAATATCGCAGCAATCGTAGTATTTTATTTTAAATATTTGAGTATACAATCTCTATGAATCCTCTGATTCTTCTTTCCAATAGTAAATAAATTCAAGGGCCTTTGAGCTTGATCTTGAATATGTAGTTGTTGCCACGAACGATCATCTTGTTCTTAAGCTTGAGCTTGATTGCTTGAACTTGACCTTGATTTGTTCTTCGTTCTTGAGCTTGAACTTGATTTGTTCTTCGCTTGTGGAGGAATTTGCAGCGGTTGATCCACGAGCTCGAAAGGAGGAGTTGTGATAAGAACAAACTCTTTCCGACCAATCAAATTGAAGTGCGACATGGCCGCATTTGATTGGCCAGAACATGTCACTTGCACACGTGGCACGATTTCATTGCCTTTTTAGTGTGACTTGGCATGCCTTGTCATTTTGACACGTGGCATGATCCTATTGGCTCTTCCGTTTGACTTGGCGCACCACGTCATTTGACACGTGGCACCAAACTGGGCTTCTAGGAAGATGACATCTTGGGCTTAATGAAGTGGACTCATCACTTTAGCCCAATTAAATGGGCTAGTCCAATGGATTAAGACTTATTTATTTAATCTATATATATTGGACTAACATAATTAATCCAATTATATTAGCCATAATATTTATCTGGACCAATATATCTTAAATTTAAAATATAGTCCAAATTAATTTTCGAATTTAATTTCATAAATTTTATATGTCTACAAAAGCCCCTGCTTTAAGATTTGTCAAGACATTAACTTTGTTAATTTCGAAGGCTAGACTTGAAGTATCCGTAAATTAATACACTGCTAAAGTTGAGAGCATATGCTAACAGATTCTAAGCTTCAATTACTTAAAGCCTGCACTAGTCCTATATGTTTGGATAAAGGAAACCACGTAAATTGAAATGAATTTGCATTGCATTTGGATTGGATTACGCGTTGACAACGAATTGGTAAGAACTCCAATTGACATCTTATTGTCTTTGCAAGGATTCCATCCCACTCCAACTCTAATTAGAGTAACTGTCGCCGCCTCAACAGTCCAAGTCCTTTTCAAAGTCGCAACGTCCCATCGACAAGTCACTATTTGACAGCCACATTTTGTTATCTATAAATACCGCACATCCTTCATTTTGTTAGTACCAATTTTGATTCCAATTTTAGCTTTTGCAAATTACTTTGAGTCTAGCAAAGGTAATTTTTTTTTCTTTTCTTGTGCTTTTTTTTTACTCTATTGTCTTTTTTTTTTAACTCTATTGTCTCTTTTTTTTTTTTTAACTAGATTCTCTACATGCACGTGTATTCTATGACATTTTTTTTACAGAATATGTATAGTAAAAATAGTTAGAGCATACATGCTTGAAAAATATTTGATTTTGTTATAAATTACAAATTTAACTATACCAAAAGCTTAGGATTTTCACGTAACTTAGGACTTTTAGGAATAAAATTGGGCATACTCTTCCATCAACTCTATCCATTCTTCTAGCCATCATACTATCAATCATGATCATTGACATGAATAGAGTTTAAGAAAACGTAATAAATAAGCAACTCTACATATGTCATTGCAAAAGGCAAAATTTTAACTTAGCACATCTTAATTAATAATGTGAATACTATTCAGGCAATCAAAGCATGAAAAATTATTCACAGTTTAATAATATATATAAAAACTGCAGAAGTTACCACTTACAATCCAAACAATGATCCTTTCTGCCTCTCGGAGCAACCTCCACTTTCGAAAACCCGTGCGATCAAAATTTTGCGACCATTATCTTCTAAATAAATGGATAAAAAATATTCGATATTGTAATATATTAATATATTATAATCCTTTGCATTTATAAAAACTGGTTAATAAAGAGATGTAGTGTGCATTTTAATATTTGAATCATACAATAAAGTGTAAAGAATTTAGGATTGATTTACATCCTAAAAGCATTGTGAGTAGTGCAGGTATCTACCCTCATTTGTGAGGAATTCAATTTTCATATGCATGAACTAACGTACGGTGGATAATAAAACGCAAAAAAGCAAGAAGTACTTCCGAAAAGAAATTAAGATCTATACTTTTTTTCCTTTTTCTTTTAAATTTACTTTCATTTTTGTCTATTAAAAAATAAGAATAGTAAATTGGTAATATTTAGAAAGGAATACAGGCTACAGAACAGAAAACAAACCACAGAAGCTGCTCATTTAATTCTAATCTAATTAAATTCAACACATAGAAGTTCTTTGTTTTTAATTTTACCTTTGAATTCAATTATTTTAATTAACTTAGTTAAGGATATTATGTAAGATCCATATTATTTCGAGATTAAATGTCTAAATTTGAAATACTTAAGTTGTATTTTTTGCAAATTTATATTATAAAAATGTCTAAATTAATTTTCTCCCTTTATTGATTTTCCATTTTTGCTTGTTTCATTAATATTGTTGTGTCACAACACCTAAATCAGCACAAGACTCAACCCAATGAACCATTTCTTCTTCACTTTTTTAAGATCTTAAACACAACAACCAAGTCTCATGCAGACTACATAAGTAATAAACCAATAAGGTGGAGTTAAATTAAAATCGCGACAACCATCCTCAATATATGACTTATCTTAAACAATTATCATTTCAAAAATACATGAGCAATAATTCTAGACTATGCGATATTAGTAGGGTATCAAGAATAGAGAGAACAAATGCATCGGTAGTTTCCTTTCCTCATTTCTTAAAATTTAATGATCGCTGAACTCAAATACATAAAAAAAAAAAGTTCTGTTAATACTTTAATCATTCATTTTTCGAACTTTAACATCGTTTGTGAATTAAACATTCTCGACTCAATGCATGCACAATTTAATGAAAAGACATAGAGTAAGAGAAGAATACCTGTCAAAGATGAATTAACAAATTTTCTGAAATTTGTTGATGAGTCATAACAGTCGGGTGTGTCCCTTAAGGTATGGAAGTCCAGATTGGAATCACTGACAGCACTTTAAGTGAATGGAACTTTTCTCAAGGAATACATCTCACCTCTCTTCCAGAACAACGTATCCAATTTGAAACGGTGGGTTTAGGTCTTTCAGATGTTAAGCCTAGCGTTTTTTATTTTTAATTCATAAGTAGGTAGTTAGGTTGTTAAGAAGGGCATTTTAGTAATTCAACTTTTATGTTAA